AGCACTGTATTGCGTAATGGATCCTACGTCATCTAAGTGGTATCATGGGCTCTCATCTCTGGTCACGAATCCACTGTTGAGCTCCTCCTCTTGAGCGGACACAACCCTTGCCACTGGTTGCTTCTTAGCGGAAAGCAGTCGCTTGATGTGACTCGTTTGCTCACCTTATTGTGTTGGTTAGTCTTAGTCTTCTATAGGGAGTATGAGAATGCTTCTCCGAGAAGCATTCTCATGGACTTCATTGGGATCGTTAGAGTCCATCCGAGTTCCACTTTATAATGCAAATCGGCGAGAAAACATGTTGCATCGTCACGGGTGGTGCCTCGGGCCTTGGCGAGACTACTGCCCGCGTTCTGGCTGGGAAGGGTGCCAAGGTTGCGGTCCTGGACATGAACACCGAGAAGGGAGAGGCTGTTGCGAAGTCTATCGGTAGACCATCCCTATGGACTTGTTGTGCATGAAGTTGCTTGTAGGGGTCCTTTCGTCTCAGGTGGTTACTTCGTACATGTTGATCTGTTGAATGAGTCCTCGATCGAGGGCGCAGTGTCAAAGGCTGTCGACTTCCTCGGTGAGTGTATGACCACTTGTATGAGCCATCTGCGTCACGGTTGAAGAACACCATCCACGATCTCTTCGTGATCGAGCTGGCCTCTCCGAGAGGCCATTTTCGAGCTCTCTGGATGTGTATATTTTAGGCGCAGTTCACGTAGTTGTGAACTCTGGTGGAGGCGGCATCGCCATACAGGTCATCAATCGTGCTGGCGAACCTCACGATATCGAGGTACGATAGTCATTGGTTAGATATGTCTAGGGCTTGACGTAGGCTTTTGCTCGAAACATCCGACTCAACCTTGTAGGAACCTTCTCTGTGGCAGCGAAAACCGCTGCCGTCATGGCCAAACAGGTTTGTTCCGTTAACACATAGCAGACTCAGATGTTATCGCAATAGGCACCCGTTACGGAAGAAGGTGAGCGAGGAGTTATCATCAACGTGGCGTCAATCGCGGCTTTCGATGGGCAGCAAGGGCAGTCAGCCTACTCCTCCAGCAAGGCTGGCGTGGTAGCGACTTCTCTACGTTAGTGCCCGTCAGATCCGTTCCAGGTTGGTTTGGCGCTTCCAATGGCTCGAGACCTAGCGCCCTATGGTATTAGAGTCAACACCATCGCCCCCGGAATCATAAAAAGCCCAATGAGTGATCAGATTCTGCCCAAGGTGAGTCAGTCTTTCCGCTTGAATAATTGTAGGAATTTACTCACCAGAAGGTCAGCGAGTCCCATCAGACTATTCTTTGTAGGTGCAGGAACGTCTATTGAAGACGCAGTGTTTCCCATCACGATTTGGCCTACCCACGGAGTTTGCTAGTCTTGTTGTGCACATGGTTGAGAACTCCTACATGAACGCTGAGGTGGTAAGAATGGATGCTGGTCAAAGAATGGCTAAGCTCTAGTGCCTCCAGTGGAGGCTCCTCAGTTTTTAGTGAATTTTTTAATCATCACATGATGTTGAGTTGGAAGTTGGGCAGGGGCCATACTTAGTATAACATACTCTTCGAGAAATTGGAGACATCGACTTGGAGTTCCTCTACAAGGCCAGAAAGAGGGACTGCAAGAGGATTGCAAGGAAAAGATGCGGATGAACGTTTCAACGTTCCAAGACTGAATTAGACAGATCTGAATTGAGAACCTCTCCGCCGTGATGGATATGGTCTACGGCAGACGCCGGAGGTTAGCGTATGATAATGACATACCTCGTCAACTGGGGCCAATTAAAATGCTCGAGTCTTCCCGGTTCCCCGAGTCCAAGTCATAGGATCCGGGCTCCACACCGAAGGGCTGATGACAATTTCCCTTCCATCGAACGAAAGTGAGCTTTCATTGGTCAAAATTGGTCTTGTGTTCGACGAATTTGAACTTGCGTTTCCGAATTCATAGATTTCATTTACGAATTTGAACTTTCACTTTCGACCGGTCTACGAAAATTGAACTTTCATTTCAAATTTGAACTTCTATCTCGTGTAAAACTCCTTACACTCGTCAAATTTCGTATATCTAATATGTTTTTCACTTGTTGAATTTGAGATGAAAAGGTATAGAGTCTTGATTAACACACTTCACCATCAGCGGGCGGACTTTTCAATTTTTCTATCAGTTTCGATTTTTCCATTTTCAATCAAAATGGATGAAGATTCCTTTTTGACCCAGGTCGCGGACGATTAGTGCCTTCACACCGTCGGCCGTAACTATAGCTCTCCAATCCTCCCTGGTATGGTAAGCCTTCATAATTTTAGACTTTCTTGTAGGATTCCCTGCGGTGCCGCGGAAGAGTCTGAGCTGCGTTCACGGGTCATCTTCAGGGCCGACCTCCGCTTAAACTTGGTGCTCGATAACGCCTCCTCACTGG